GTCATAATTAAATTAAGTGTGTGAGTTTTCTAAGAAGAGTGACTCATCCTTTGGATCTTTAAAATCCCATTAAAACCTGAACTGTTAGTTTATTTTGTTCTTTTCCCTAGTGTAATAAAAGTTTATGTGAAATTAAGACAGCTGTATGTGTCCTTAAGCAAGAACTGATTGCTACTTGACTTAGGGCGGCATACACAGTATGACTTTTTCCCCATTTTGGGCCAAAATTTCAGGCATGCAAGATTCTTTTTTTTTTTTAATCAGACAGAAGTTTCAGCCTCATCCTGCGTTGTTTAGTATACAGGGGGTAATGAGAGGTGATTACCACCTCCCGATCAGGAATCATATGATCGGATGAAAAAAAAACATGTTTTAAATTCAGTAGGTGTCAGTAAGAGGAGAACTGAATGAGACAAGATCTGCATGATCTCAGAATAATGAAGCGATAATGTTCATTTATGACGCTGCTTTTGCCTGTAACTCCAAATATTCTGATAATTAGCAATTCCAGTATTAAAACAGGTGAGATATTAATAATAATAACAAATATTAGAATAATATGTGTGGTCATATTCAGTAAGTTTTCGTAAATACTCATGTTGTACATTCTCTCTGTTTTAAATGGTGTAAGATTAATGGAACAGGAGAAAGGAAGGTGATAAGAACATCTGTAGAAAGTAGATTGAATGAGAGCAGAGGAAAACAGGAATGCTGAATGAAAGAGCAGTTAAAGAGAAGGGATAGATTTTTAGTTAGAAAGTAAAGCAGAGGGCAGACAGAAGTCAGAAGAGTGCCAGAAAGAAAAGAACTTCAGTAACCAGCCAGATCCATCTTGATTTTTTGGTGTGAAAAAAACAGGAAACAAAGGAGCTGCTGAAGTTCAAGGAGTAGTGGAGCATTGCATGGAAAAATGAATCTGCACTATTGAGATGCACAGGCCCCTGATGCAGTCAGTCGTCATTTGACAGTAATAAACATCATCATTGACCTTCAGGCTTGGCCAGTACTTGTTTCTGATTCATATTAAGTTAAGAAAAACATAATTCTCATAGGTTTGTAAATGTGAACAGAAGGAGTATTTGTTATAACTGAAGAGATGGAGGACAACCAAAGGCATAGGCTAAATGTTGGAGAAATATTTATAAATGCATTTATGTGTTGTTTTTTTGCCTCTTGTCACTTCCCCCTTAGGGGAAGCATAGCTCTTTAGGCCCGACAACATATTTCCCCCAACCCAGAGACACAGTTCTAGTTTTCTATTATTAACACTATCAATTTATTCATTTTATTCATCTTAGGAAATACTAACAGTGTTGAAAGGCATTCCTTGTTTTTTGACGCTAAAATATTAATAAAAGAAAATGAAACCATTACTGTCCCAGTTTCCTAATTTCATCTTGACAATATGTATTTCCTTTTTTTCTATAAGTTGGAATTTGATTTCAGAAAATCTGGTCACCTTGTTATAGGAAAAAAGAGGCAAATTATCTTCCAAATATTATTCAGAAGTCCTGGAAATTCCAAACAGCTTTTTTTTTTTTTTTTTTTTTTTATTAATTGTTTCTCTAAAAATAAAATTATAGATCTGACCAAACAGATACAGTATGATAGCAGTGGTTAAGCTTATGTCCTCCTGTGCATTTGTTCGACTGTGGGCCTGGCAGTTTTTGCCTTTTGTCCCACCTTAAACTATAGTACTGTAGTGTGATTGGCTGACACATTTTGGGTCGGACTGGAACCATTTAAGGTGGAGCGGTACAAGATGGTTTCTTGTTCTTTGCAAACAGAGTTAATCTAAACTATAAGTAGCCAAAGGTGTAGCTTTTGTGCAGATGGGAATACAGATTAGCACCTGCTCCTGTCCATGCTAAGTGGGAAAGTCATACCTCTTTTGTGGCTTTTTTACAGTTTAACCACAAACACCTCTCACCTTTTAAATTTTGTGCACAGATACATGAACATTTACACACACACAACACAAGTACAAGGATGCAAAATAATCCGATTGTTGACTTACCTTTGATTAGTATTGTATTTTCATTATTATTACTCTTGTTGTTTCTCCATTGCTGTAGGTTTTCTGTTTGCCAACCAGTTTCTTTTATTTTTTGCCACTCGTCTTTCTCTTGGGACTTGATTGCAGGGGCTTCCTTCTCCCCAGACACCTTCTCCAGCTCCTCTAAGCCTAAGGCATTCCTGGCCAGCCAAGAGACAGTTTTTCGAGCTTGTCCTGGGCCATCCCCTTCCGTGCCTGGGAGGCATCCACGGGGGATCTGAAACTGCTCCATTCCCCTCTCATGAACAGGATACCGAGATACTTGAACTTCTCCACTTAGCTTTTATTTCTTTTTAGCATCTTACTGTGTGATATTAATTCTGATTTTCTTTTTCGGCATTTATTGTTTCTTATAAAGACATTTTTTTCACATTTAATTTCTAGAGAAGAAGCACAAATATCAATTATTATTTTAAAAATATTTTCAATTTAGCTACTTATTTCTTCCCAAAACCCATTGTTACCCATATAGAGTTTGTAGACCATACTTACTCTGCACACATGTAATTTTAGCTGAAAGAAATCTCACCATGCCCTGAAAATGCTCACCACATAATTATTGCACATGTACAATAAACTGACTGCTGCTTATTTATGGCCTCTCACCCAGCAGTCTCCACTGTCTTTGCTACCATTCTGCTGGTCTGCTTGACTTCCCTCTGCATCCTGCTCCTCATTAGGAAGCCTTTCATGGTCACAGGCAATAAAACTTCAATGAGAGGCAGTCGGAAGAAAACATGGCTGTTCTGTGGCTTTATTGAGCATTAATTACATAATCACCATACCAGACAGTAGAGGGCCAATCAGTCCTCCAACAGCATGGTCGACCTATGACCACATATGGAACACAGTCAGACACATAAACTCAGGTTTCACAAACCAAATGCCACTGTCGAAGACACACAGGCGCATATGAAGGTCAAGCACACACAAATCCATCTTTAGTATTTACTCACGTGTTTAGACACATGGTTTATGTCCATATATTTTGTTAACCCTTTGACACATTTTCTCTAATAGAGGCAAGAAGAGTAAGGAAAAATGCACTGAAACTAAATAGTATTTTTCCTTATTGTGTCCCAGTTACATTTTCAATATTAGAAAGCAGCTGTTATGTTATTGTCAGTTTCCCTCCCTCCCACACACATACAAACACAAACACACACACAAACATGAATTTACACACTGAAAGACAGACAGAGGCAACAAATGAGGAAGACACTTGACACTCCCGAATGAATGAGTAATTCATGGCCATTCATTTCAAGGCTGTAATAATAGGATGCAACAGTGGTCATTTGTCATCGACTGATTTGTGAGATGTTCCTCTAATTGTTTGGACTGAGCCAGTGCTGAGGAAAAGGCTAATTATAGTGTAGCATTTTTTTATCTATTCAAAAAAATAAAAAAATAACTGCCTCTGGAACGAGAACAATTTAGGAATGGAAGTGGCTTGGTTTGTCACAAGGTTCTCCTCTTCATGCCTTTCTTTCTTCTCTTTTCCTCCACATTTTTTTTTATTTTCTGTCATAACAATCTGCCATTTGCCATGGCATAAAAATACTGCCATTTATTTTTATGCACTATTGTTATAATATGAATTAGCTATCAGGATTTACAGTACTGCATATATGCCTAGGAAGAAATAATAAATACTACACAAATATTACTAGCAGTTAAATCTCCTGTTAAAAGTGCCCTTATAGCAATGGGTGAAATTCATCTTTGTATGATTAATTCACACTTAAACATTTTTTTGACCCCTTTGGTCAAAACATCTGCTGGGTCAAAATATAAAATATTTTAAAATTCAAAGTGTGTCATGGGTTTAATCTACAGTAGCATGCAGAGTGAGGCTTCATACCACAAAGCGAAGAAAATACCAAACTTTAAATATAGCAAACACTGGGTTGAGAAAATAACTCACAAACTACACTACTAGATATGTCATATTTTTATTAAAAGGAATGAATAATGCAGTTGCTGAGAGGCAGGGTGAAAAGAGAGCAGGTTGCAAGGTTCAAAACAGAGAAACAGGATTCTTCCAATATGTCTCCGTGGAATGCAATCTCACAAGAATGACATTACATTATATCAGACTATGCATCTTAGCTGGGATACAAATCCAGGACCATATTACTTTAAAGCACCTTTACTAAAAGCTTCATCACGTGGTACTGCGATGATGGTACTGTGTTATTGTTGAAATTGGCAGGTGATGAGGGACATTCTTGTTCCCTTCTCTTATCCATCAAACGTGTTCACATCTTGGACACCTTTGATCAAAGCTACTGTAGATAAGTGGCTCTTACATGAATGGTGCCTTGGTTGCAAGGCATAGATAGATAGATAGATAGATAGATAGATAGATAGATAGATAGATAGATAGATAGATAGATAGATAGATAGATAGATAGATAGATAGATANGATTGATTGATTGATTGATTGATTGATTGATTGATTGATTGAAGACTGGATGGCTGACTGAGGATAATGAAGGCATTCATTTGATGCCAGGCAACCTGTAAGCAGCTCAAGACAGATGCTTTCTTGTTGGCCCATTAATTGCGCCTTGTAGAGTGATGGATTGTGCTTCACAGGCACTCTTTGAGAAAGGTATCCAGTACTTTTGGTGGGAGGGAAGGGGCCTACAGTTCATATGTGACACCTGGCTGATGATGAGCTGGGACCAGCATGCACATTCCTTCTACTTTGGACATTCTTTTTTTGCCAGCTAGGTAGGTCATCCACAAAACAACAACTATCTCTTAGTAGAGATCTGCATTACTTTTAAAAACTGTAAACTGGTAAATTGATTCAGTGTTCATGGAAAAACAATCAGACTCAAATAAGTAGAAATGTGTCAGAGTGAGGTGAAAAATAACTGGAGCTGCTTTAAAGCCCCAGCTCTTTCATCCTCTTCCTTTTTTTTTCGTCTGCCAGCTTCTCCCCGCCTCCATCCTTTCCCACAGACTGGCAGCCCCTGAGCCACAGCACATCATCGTCCACAAACGCCTGATCTGCTGTATCCTCCGGCGAGCACCTCTGTACTTCTGCACGTTCAAATCAGACAAGCGTGAGTCAATACAATAAGGGCTGCACCAGAGCGCCGCTATTTTTTGACGTGACTTAAAATAGAGTATTTCTGCTGTTAACCCAATTCTTCCATCTCCTGCTTCTCTCTCTCCTTAGGTCTGTCAAAAACTCACGACTGAATGAGACCGACAATTTTTACAGAACAGTCTTTCAAAGAAAGACATTTGGGGGGAAATTGTCAAGCGTCTGCCCTTGTTGCCCTGGCATAAGTGGATTGAAAGGAGACGGGACATCTGAGCTGAGAGGAATCGCTTCTGTGCCGCGCAGTAGCGCGCAGAGAACAGAAGCTGCAGACGCGCTTAAAGAGCAAAGGGGATCAGGACCGGGGGGGGGATATTTTACGCACAGCCCTGTTTTCCTTATATTGGTTGTTTTAAACAAAGTCGTTTGGTTGTCCGCTTGGATTTTCTCAAAGCCACGCTAGTGAGCAGCAATGGATTTGTTCATCCTAGCGCTTCTGGTGCTTTGCTCTCTCACAGTGCCAACCTTTGGGGACAAAGGCTCCAGCAAAGCCCGGACCTGTTCGGACATTCAGCAGTTTTACGGCGCAAAGGGATTCAAACAGAATGTTGTCCCCCAGTTTGAAATATCAGGTAGGCTTCCTTCTCATATTGGAAAACAAACTCATATTATGTGGATTATTTTTTTGAATAAACTATTCATTAATGATTTTTAAGTTTGCAGCTAATTATGTAAAAAAATGCACTGACATGCACCTACGTTGGCATTAAATTTAAAGGAAAGAATGAAATTATTCATTATTTCCTATAAAACCATGGAGAAATAATTTATTTTTGCACGCCTTAAATCTGTCATCAAACTCATTTGATGTCACATGGTACTTTAAAGTAGAGGAGCTGTGGCTTCAGGCTGTGAAGATGAAACACTGCTTTGAAAAGTTATTGAGACAGAGGAGAGCAACTACAGGAAACTTGTTTGTTTGATCCACTGTTAAAAAAAGACGAGAAAAAAACTTTCCAGATCTTTGTCTGCTTTGCATCCAATATGTGAACTCTGCTTTCTGTGTCTTGATACACACTGGGCTCCTGCTCCAGACGACACATTTCCTAACCTGACCTCTTTTTTTAGGATATGTTCACTTCTAGGGCAGGGAGTTCAGCCTTATAAATTACCAGACAGTCACTTGACCCAGTGCTCTGACTGTGCAGATATAATGTTGCTGACTGTCATTCATGACCTGATATGAGTCACAAGTCCCCTGTTACTGTTTGAACCATTACATGTCTGTCTTCTCTGGAATTCAGTGAGGTGAATAAATAGAATAATAAAAATAATTGACTGTGGTTTGAAATGACTTAAAATTTTTAATGCATTTCGATTATAATGCATAAGGAATGTTCTGTAAATAAGAATCCAGTTTGCATGAGATTGAGATTGTCACGTTTTAGGATGCACAAAGGTTAAATGTCAATATTTTCTTCATATGGTAGTTAGATGTTTCTCAGTAGCCATTGCTTCAAAATCCAAGAATGCTGTCTTGCATATCCATCATAGCTGCAATGAAAAATTTAGCTGGCACTCCTTACAATTTGCACCTGATTAAGAATGTCCACTCTTAATTAAATTGAACAAATAGGCTCCCGCTGAAAATATATTTCTTTGCAGAATTGGTTGCCATTTTCCCATCTGCTTCATATAGCGTTACATTGTGTGTAATTACTTGGAAAATTATATTGTCCTTCAGTTGGTTGCTTAACCCAAATGCTGCCAATAGTTTGTGAATTGTGGCTGTAAAAATAAAATCACACTTTTGAGACTGACATTTTCAGACACCAGAGTTGGTCTTTTTTCTGACTAGTGGAAGCAGATTTACAATCTATCGGGTTGCAGTTTGGCAGTGTACATCAACATGTGAAGGAGAGACGGTTGTATGGCTCATGCTTAATGTCCAGAAAACTGGTCTGTCAACTTCAGCCTGACTACTGCGTGTTGCAACTTTCCCCTAGCTGTCAGATGTGACAGAACACCATGTGATAGCTAGAAAAACAGAGCTTAGCATATGCTAACCATATAGCTAAACAAAACATGTGTTGAACTTATTTTTTAATTAATTCATTTAAAGAGTCAGGACAGAATGATGAAAACAAATTTACATTCCCACCTCAAAAAAAGAAAAAAAAAAATTTCCCCCAATAAAATCAGATTGTGTTAAATTAGTCTTGTTCACTGTGGGTTAGGGGGAGGCTCCAACCGAGCATGTTCATTTGATGTGACAATTGGAATTCAATCTGAAAAATTCACACAGAAAGAAAAAGACAAATAGAAGAATTTTATTGCTACAATTATTGTAAGACTTTGGCGCTCAGACTTCGGCAGCAAACATTAGTGCTGAATTTCACTTTAATATTTATAAGCAGGTGTATGAGAACAGGGATGTTACCCCTGAGGCCTGAAATTGGCGGAGGAGTGGAGATAGATATAGTTGGTTCATTCCATAGACTGCTGATCAGTAGACTGCGTTAACTGATACTAGTGCTTCAATCGGGACCCGGAAGATAGATTTCAAGCTTGGTGAAACTCATGTTTCCATGAACATGTTCATGTTGAGCAAGCATGAAGTGAGAGGGGAGAGGAAAAACTTCCCTCAACATGGTGGTCTCCTGCCAGACTGGTTGAGATGTGATTGGGAATGCAGTAAGTGTGCAGGAGGAATTATACTCTAATAGGGACAAGGTTAAAGAAGCACCATTGAAAATGATGTAGTTGGGTTGAATCTAAGTCAAAATCAGACATAGCACAACTACTGCTTGCACTTTGGCTGGGTAGCAAGCTAGGTCATGGGTTTGAAGACCTTTTAGGATGAACTCTGGAAACTGATGGGGCTTCGTGGAAGTGCAGTTCAAAGCTGGTTTGCGTCAGAGGCAGGTGAGCCTCTGATGATTAGGACAGGTAATTTAGTTTCTTCACTTGAACTTCTGCCTAGGCTTCATTTATCCAATGCCACAGGCTATTCCAAACTTTTTGTGCCCCAAACTCATCTTATAAATAATAGTTCCTATATTTAATACAGATAGAGAAGTTCCTTTCTCTTTACTGCCTGCATCTTCCTCACATGGTGAACATGCATGCCATCTATATTTATATCTGTTGCATATTGTGGTTGTCTTTGAGATGCACAAAAATTGTTCACTGTCTTCTTACAAACCTGGGACAGTTTAAATGGGATGGTCAAGAGGGAATTTTGCACATTTATCAGTTGGGCAGGGAATCCTGGTTGACCGCCCTCATTATGCCCACTGATTAGTGTTTTTTTTTTCACAAGCAATTTGGCACTGATCAGTTCTTGGTGTGCTTGTACTCCAATTTATGAACTGAGAATTAAAAGAGCATGGAATAAATGTGACACATAATTAATGCAAAAATGTCCTAATTTCTTTGCAAAAAAATATTCAGACGAGGACATAATTGTTGAAGGAAGAATTGTTAGATTGTTACATATTTATTTATTTAAAAATACATATTAGATGTATGGACCAATAACTAGCTGGAAATGCCTCTAGTTAACGTGGTTTATGACAAAGATGAAACCATTGCATATGACTACCATCACGGTGTTAGCATAATATTAAACTTAAATGATCACAATCCACACATGTCAGTGTTTCATTTAATTGCACTCAACAATTTTCGGTTAATATTTCATTCCCTGTTTGCTTGGTCATCTTTTTACATGGCCTGCTAACTAGCCTGTACAGTACTTACAGAAGATTGTAAAGTCTGGGGACTCTAATCCTAATCCAAACTACATTGTAACCAGAGTTGTTGCGTGGCACTCAAGCCGTGTTTCCATCCCAAGTGAAATGCGAGTTTTGATTGAACTTTTAAAATTTTGAAAAAAAGGAAATATGAATTTGCGTTTTTTCCATTTGGTTTAAAGCAAGTTAGCCAAGCACTTGGCACTATTTCACTCACCTATTTTCTGTCACTTCCTGGTGTCAGGCTTTTAGCTAGCAATGCTTACGGGCAAACATCATAGTGTATGCCCTTTACAAAAAAAATGACAAATTGTATGACCTGTTTTTTGGGATGTACAACTTTGGTACGCTCTAATTTTCCCCCCAGGAACTTAGGTCATATGTTCAAAATTTCAAAAGCAGCAGATTTTGGAGTTGGAAAAATTGATTTTTGTTGCTCAATATGCCACATTGACCAATCAGAGAAGCTGATCTGGGAGCTGGCAGGGAGACAGACAGCGCTGTTGATGCAGAGCTCTATGATCACTCCACTGAAACTATTTAATAATGCTTAAATTAACTTAAAATGTCAAAGCCTGCCATAAAATATGTTTGCTTTTATTATTCTGGTGCTTGTAGTTCATACCATATACCTGAAAAACCGTAACATCTACTTCCGGCCGCCACAAACAGTATGGGAAAAAACCCGTAAGAGGCGACTGGGCCTGAGGCAGCTGCTGCTGGGATTCCCATTGACAGCACACCACCGATATATGGGGGTCTGCTCACCTCCGACAGCAAAGAAATATTTTAAGGCAGGATCTGAATCTTGATGAACTGAATGCACAGGTGATGTTTCGAGTTGGGCTTTCTTGCATAAAAATGTACTAAAACTACTTTTTATCAGCTTATCACTGCAAATGTATCAAAATCACTCTCTGAACATAGGAGCAGGAGAAGCATCAGACACATCATGACAAAATTTACTAGACACACTCCAGAAGCATCTTTACTTTCTGGTTGTTTGAATTAACATAACAATCATAATATTGTACCTAAAAAGAACTAATGTCTTCATTATGAACCTTCTACCTCTAGTCAAGCACACATATTTCCCATAATCAGGACAAAAGTAGTGTTGTAACAAAGACAAAAAGTTAGCTGGCTTCCACCAAAAAATGCTGAAATAGCATTTCATAGAGTCCAAATTTCAAAATATACACCCCTACACCGTGCAATGCCTTAAAATGTTATATGCCAAGGTGTGTATGGGAAATAATTTATTTCTGCATGCCTTAAGTCTGTCATCAAACTCATTTTATGTCACATGAAATATTGTGTTTCTTTTTTTTTTTTTTTTCAGTTCGGCATTGTCTTGTCTTCAGTTTACATTGCATTGCTGTTTACTTGGTGTACTCATGTGCAGCAAGTTTATCCATGATCAGTAAAACATTTCCTTTCAACATAGCCTTCCAATGTCCTGTTGCCGCTCAGCCCTCTGCCACTACAAATCATGATATGAATAAGTGTGAAGTCAACTTTTTTGTCAACATTTATTCTGAGGATAATAAACGAATATAATTCTTAACTTTTAAACCCTTAAAACTGTCAGTTTTTTTACTGGCTGCAGACAGGCTTCATAAACACCTATAAAAAATTAAATGTGTATTGCTTTCGGATTGTTAGCTAATTGTAGATTATCCCTAGCATTGGGGTATTTCTTAATGTGACGTGTATCTTGATCAACTAAATATATTGACTGAGTCTGATTCAAGGTCAATTTGATCTACCTAAAATGACTGCTACTCAACTCTGAAAGTGATTTTATGTAATTTTTAAATAGCCACTACACTGTAAAGTAATGGATATGAAAGATTTTACTGCATTAGTTTATTAAC